GACTATGTGTTGGACCACAATGGAAATAAGCTTAATGCTTTATTGTGTTATCCATTTGTGTTAATGTTATTGTGTATTTTATGCAGTACTATTTACATGATAAATAAAATGAAAGGAAGGAAGGCAGGAAGGAAGGAAGGAAGGAAGGAAGGAAGGAAGGAAGGAAGGCAGGAAGGAAGGAAGGAAGGAAGGCAGGAAGGAAGGAAGGAAAGAACGAACGAACTTTAAAAAACTGCTGTCAGTCAGGTCTTTAAAACTCTTCACCCTGATCGTCACACCTGTGTTTTTACTGTTTTATGTTGAAATTATGACAAAAACACTTCACTTCCAGTTCGGAGGATACTATTTTTGGCTAAAATATGAGTCTATGAGACGCACTAAGTGAAAGAAGGCAGAAATAGCTACATTTTGATGAGTAATTTGCGTGTTTTTATTTAAAATGTGTAACTGTACCATCCCTCCTCTCAGCCTCTCCGACTCGACTCACAGATCCAGCAGCAGCCCTCCTCGCTCCTCCTCATCATGGCTGAAACTGCGGGGAAGTTCGACTTTGCCATCGACCGCGGCGGCACCTTCACAGACGTGTTCGCCCGGCTGCCCGACGGCCGCGAGAGGGTCCTGAAACTGCTGTCGCGAGACCCCCAGAACTACAAGGACGCCCCCACTGAGGGGATCCGCAGAGTCTTGGAGGAGGTAGATGGTAGATGATCATGTTCCTGTTTTGTTTTTAAGATAACCCTGTTTTTCCTCTTACAGGAAACAGGACAGGTGTTCCCTCGTCACCAGCCTGTAGACACCTCTCTGATTGGCTGGATCAGAATGGGCACCACGGTGGCGACCAATGCGCTGCTGGAGAGACGGGGAGAAAGGACGGCGCTCCTGGTCACGAGGGGCTTCAAGGACTTGCTGCACATCGGCACACAAGCCAGACCCAAGCTGTTTGACTTGGTCTGTAGTTTTTGTTCTGGTTCTTTGATTATCTCCTCTCACTAACTCTGCATGTGGACTACAGTTGTTCATGTGTCTTTGCAGCGTTGGTTTATTCATTAGCTTGTGTTTCAGAAACTGGAGTTTGCTCCCAGACCAGTTGTTCTGTTAACAATTTAAACAGACGGTTAAAGAAATACAGCAGGTAAAATAAGTATTGAACACGTCAMCATTTTTCTCAGTAAATATATTACTAGAGGTGCTAATGA